TGGCATGATCAAAGCTCACTGCAGCCTTGACTTCCTTGGCTCAAGGGATACTCCTGCCTCAGCCTCCCAAGTAGCTGATACTACAGACATGCGCCACCGTCCACTGTGTCCAGCTAATTTTTTTAAATAATTTTTTTGGTATAGACAGGGTCTTGCCATGTTGCCCAAGCTGGTTCCTCACCCTGGGTTCAAGAAGTCCTCCCACCTTGGCCTCTCAAAGTGCTGTTATTACAGACATAAGCCACCGTACCCAGGCCTGAGTATATTCCTTTTTTAAAAGTTATTATTTTTCTTTTATGTTTATTCATGATCATAGTTTTAGTTTGTGCCTAATTTATGTGTATTCACATATATGAGTACTGCCCTTTTATTATGCTTGCCTTCTAAGAAATAAGTTTTAAAGTTTGTATAGACTTTTTTAGGTTTACTTATTGGAAATAATGTTTTAATTGCCCCTTCTTTTGATAGTTTAAAGAAGATGGTGAACTGAATGCAGTTTTTGCTTGTGTATCATAGTCTTATCAATAACATTTTGTTGAAATAAGTGAAGGGTGATGATCTCTGGTGTGATTACAGGGAATTAGCCACAGTGTTTGTAAAGGAAGATGAAATACAAAAGCTTCATTTGTTAATTTGGACTGAAGACTTACAGCATTCATTTTAAAAGAATATGACCAGCCGGGCGCGGTGGCTCACGCCTGTAATCCCAGCACTTTGGGAGGCTGAGGCGGGTGGATCATGAGGTCAAGAGATCGAGACCATCCTGGTCAACATGGTGAAACCCCGTCTCTACTAAAAATTCAAAAAATTAGCTGGGCATGGTGGCGCGTGCCTGTAGTCCCGGCTGAGGCAGGAGAATTGCCTGAACCCAGGAGGCGGAGATTGCGGTGAGCCAAGATCGTGCCATTGCACTCCAGCCTGGCTAACGAGAGCGAAACTCCGTCTCAAAAAAAAAAAAAAAAAGAATATGACCAAGGAAATCATTAAGTTGGTCTTAACCTAAATTGTTGGTTCTTGATTTGGCATTACTTTAATTTAAAATGGAAGGAAACTGAAGTGGGGAGAGAGAAAGAACTGAATTTGAAGAAACCTCTTAAACTATACAATTTTAAATGTGTATCTTGTTTTAAGTTGGTTGTTCCCATTTTTTCACTATCAAGGATCTTCACCTTCTCATAAATTATACATTCTGAAAGAGTTGTGTGTCATATTACTTATCAAGTTCAAATTTATTTTTTCCATTTTCATTATGAGTCATTACTTTTGATCTGTGTTAGGTAGTCTCTAGAATTGATAGAGAAAAGATAAGCAATTTAAATTCTAATTCGTTTCTGTATTATGCAAGTAAATCTAGATTTCTTTGAATCTTTATGTTATGAAATACTCAAAAAGGTGTAAAGTGATATAATAAACACCCATCCATAACTCAAGTTAAAAAATAAACATGCTGGGCATTGTGGCTCACGCCTATAATCCCAGCACTTTGGGAGGCCAAGGCGTGCAGATCACCTGAGGTCAGGAGTTGGAGACCAGCCTGGCCAACTTGATGAAACCCCATCTCTACTAAAAATACAAAAATTAGCCAGACATGGTGGTGGACGCCTGTAATCCCAGCTATGGGGGAGGCTGAGGCAGGAGAATTACTTGAACCTGGAAGGCGGAGGTTGTGGTGAGCAGAGATCATGCCATTGCACTCCAGCCTGGGCAACAAGAGTGAAACTCCAACTAAAAAAAAAAAAAAAAAATTTTTTTAATTACCAGTATAGTTAAAGCTCCCCTCTCCCTATGTTATATTATGTATTTTTCACTCCCCATGAGGGACAACTGCTTCTGTATTCAGTGTTTATCATCCTCGCTATTTTCTTTATAATTTTATTGTGTATATCTTTAACCAATATACATTACATTTTGTATGTTTGTTTGTTTGATTTTTTTTTTTTTTT